AATAAGAATTAGTATGATTACTCGAATTAGTAATGATTAAGAATTAAAATGTCAATATAGCGCCGTGCCTTATTTTCCAAGAATTGAACTGCTACTGGCTGTTGGCAAACAGCGAGAGTCTTTATATAACGATGGATAGGCTCCGGAGAGTTTGGCGCTAAAAATATAGAAAAGATACTAAAATACGCGATTGGTCAGGAAATGGACCAATCCGTGATTTTAGAGAAAAATTTGAATTACTTGCGATGGTTAAATTGTCCTAAAATAAGTATCATGTCTTTATTAACCAAATGACATTAAAGAAGGCGGAGGTGTGGCACATGTAAGTGATTCCCACAGTCTTTTCATCTGCAGGGTAGGTGATGGTCTCAGTGTTTTGGGGATGAAAAAAAAAAAAAAGAAAAAAAAAGAGCATTGTGTTTATTGACTATCTTGAAAAGGGCCACACAATCAATGGAGAGTACTATGCTAATTTTTTTGAGGCAGTTACGAAAGGCTACCAAGACCAAACACACAGGAAAACTAGGGAAAGGGGTCTTGTTTCACGAGGATAATATTTCAGCACACGTCCTTGGTTTCAATGGCTGTTGTGCGTGACTGTGGCTTTGATGACATTCCCTTTTCTTCTGGTTTGATAATCATCTGTTCCCCAACATGAAAAAAACACTTGGCTGGGAACCCGTATCGCCGTGATGATGACATCATATTTGCTGTTGATTACTTTTTGACCAAGAGAATGAAGTCTTTTTGAGCAGTCAGATGTCAGTTTACCTCGAAATATCAATGCAGTTGTTAATAAGAAGCATTGAAATTAATGCTTGCAATATTCCACAGTTTTAGTATCACCCCATCATAGTCAGCCTTTGAACTTTTCAGCCACCCTCTCACCTGGAAAGCTATCAATAAGAAGAGTTAAAATTAAAGCAAGCAAGATTCCACAGCTCTAGCATCATACCTTCATACACCCTTGTGCAAATTAATTGATACAAAACGAATAATACCGTTATTATTTACTTTTTCATATTTCCCCAATGGAATATGACCCAGTGCATATGTTAGTACTTCGTATGTCCATTCCACAAAGTCGTTCCTTGCACATTGACCACAGATTCTCAACTGGATTTAAATCAGGAGTGTTTCCGGGCCAGTCTATAGTACTTTGATTTGCTCACTGGTACGCTTCCTTGGAGTAACGTCCATCGCAGACAATGGCTGCAAGACAACTAATCGACAGTCAATACAATAGTGTCTGGGCGTGATAAAAATCTGATGCAACCACGGATCACGCAATAATTTTAAGGCCAAATAAGTTTCATCATACACCCCGGAAATAGGTTTCCTATTACTGCACGCCACAGCAAATGACCTAATCTGAGGAACTAAAACTGATCGTATGGTGAAAGAAAGGAAACTAAAGCGCTTGTTTCAATTAATTTGCACAAGGATGTAGTCAGACTAGGATCTTTTCAACCCAACTTCGTATATTACGAAAAAATGTTCATAATGTTTCATGTTTCATAAAATAGGCATAAAATAAAAGTTTGTGAAAAAAAGAAAAAGGAATTAACTCTTTTGTTAATTACAAAATCCCAGTCCAAAAGTCTACGTTGTTGAACAAAGAAAAATACTATTTACTAACCTGCTTGAGATTTTCCGTGAGGTTTGTTATCCTATGCATTAAGTGAAGTAAAAAAAAAGTTTAAATTTGAAACTGCTAAAAGGGCTTGATCAGTTTTTCTGAAAACCCACATAAAACTCAACTCTGTGTCAAAACTGGGTGACGTTGGTTTATAAATAAATCCCAAACAGGAATTTAATCCAATTACTATATTTATTTTCGTTGTTGCAGTCACAGTTTCAGTCATTGTATTCTCTGATCTTCCTCAATTATCTGTCGTAGTTGGTAACCTTCTAAGAATTTTGAACTGAACACTTTATTCCATCTACAAGGATATCTCGTAATTAAATCCTACATAATTCATACGTATGGTGTCGCTTCTCTTCCAGTGAATCAGCGGATATGATTTTTTGTACTACCTGAAGTGGCCTTATCCTTCAGTCTTGTCCTCTATTATTCAGAATTAATTCCACAAAGATTCGTGACCACCCTTTTCTCCCCAAAAATGATCAGCCATTCTCGCCTTTTTTATCAATTCAGCCCAAGCAAGGCGATAATGCCACTAAGACTTAAGGGGGCTACTGGGAGTGAAAGATAATTTACTTTAGAAGGAACTGGAAACCCAGTCCTAAACTGAAAACAAGTGATAAACCTCTACTACTGTTCAAAAGACCGGAGAGGAATGTAAACCGGATGATTGGCGAACCTATCTACTCCTAAAGAGAGCTGATAAAATCATATATATATATATATATATATATAAAATGAGACCTTTTCACGGGCAAATTTATATTCCTTCGAAGAAACGATTTTTTCAGTCAGTATACGTCGGACCTTATAGCGTTCTCGATAAAACAGAAATATTTAACAATCGAGAGAAATGCTCACGCAAATATAATCGCCATAGACAAGTTGAAACTGACTAACGTTGACTTAGCAACACAAATTGCACAACATGTAATTTGCACTAAACGTAATCATTCAAGAAGATCTGCGACAAATTCTACAAAGAGAAACAAATCCCGCCGAAGTGTCCATTAGCCTGAATTCTGAATTTATTATTCTTTAAAAAAAAAAAAAAAAATTATATATTTCGATAGGTTTCTGCTGATTGGTTGAAATTTATTGTGGTCACGTGATGTGCTCTCCACTACGTCCAAACTCTGTTTTGTCCAATGATAAATATTTCATTAATTTGCCGGTTTGTTCCATGATTCTAGTCCTATTTAAGGTTTGGTCCGTTTTTTTTTTCTGCGGCAGATCCCATGTGAGTGTCTTTTGAACATGCTTCTTAAAGATAAACTATTAGCGTTAAGATAATTAAAATTTTCCATTCACATTGATTAGCAGGAGGTCTCTGTGTTTTCTCCCACTGATTCTCTAGTAAAAGTTGATGGAAGAAGTTTTTTTATATTGATTGACAGCATTGGTCTAAGAATCAAGGGTGTATGGAGACTATCAGTTTCACGCTTCGACGTGATTTTCAGATCGAATGACATACATCTACAGCCGGCTAAAAGAGTAGCGGTATTTGGTCTGTATATAGCACGGAAACATAAAAACAGACGTTCACCATGCACTGTTGATTCCTTTTGTCTACATTGCACTGCCTATTGTAAGGATATATTTATTATTATTATTATTACAAATAAATAAAAATAAATTATAAAATAATAATAATGAAAATTATAAATAAAATAAGAATATTTTTCCAATGAAATATTTTATAAAACCATAATATTTAAACCTTGTTTAAAATAAATAATAAAAAATACTCCCAACATGCAACTAAAAAGCTGTTCTTTCCGCCAAAAGACGTTAGATTCAATCTCTTAACCCAAGAACCGTCAAGAAGACAACACGTGTGTAACTTCCATCTGTTATATGACTTGTAATACTACGGAATAAACTGCTCCCTTTTATAACATGTACACGAACACAATTGTAACGTAAAAAACACGCACAAATAAAATTGTATTAAATTACCATACTTATACCTTTTCTGTTAGTTATTGTGTACGTTTTTATTTTCGTAAACTAAGCCTAAAATTCCTACCACTTTTATGGTGTGAGTGAATACGTCACCCTAAAACGCTCAAAGTTTCAAATTTGCTATCTTTATAGGGGAATAGTGCTCAATATCTGAGATAGAGCGTTTAGGTGGATTTCGGAATCATGCGTCAATATCTTCATAAACACTTACGTGGGTGTGCTGAACTGAAAATGTTCCGACCCAGTTCGCAAAATCAGTCTCCTGGTAAAAATGTTAATTTTTGGCAAGTGTGTAGGACCAAGACCTTCTCGTAACTCAGTGCGTGCGTGCGTGCGTGCGTGCGTGCGTGCGTGCGTGCGTGCGTGCGTGCGTGCGTTTTTTTTCTCATTTTTTGTGTGAAAATTTAAAAATATTATCACGATCAGTTTCAGATCGCACAAAACATCCGTGCGGGTTTTCTTCCATCTCCTTTAAAAAAGATGAAAGCTAGTTTATTAAAAAAAAAAAAAAAACAGTAATAATTTTATTTTGCTAGTTATTTTCTATCGCCAGGGTGGTGTGCCAGCCCCCACCCAGTAATGTGCGCGTCCAAATGCGACTGTGTATGAAGCTCGATATTTAAAAAGGATCCTCAACTTAAAACTTTGAGACTGAAGCTCACTTCCGTATAGCACAAAAGTGGGGGCGGAGGATTGTTTTATTATTTGTTTTTTTTTTTTTGTTTTGTTTTTTTTTTTTTTTTTTTAGTTTTTTTTTAGCTTGTTTACTCCCCGTCGTCACCGTATACACAATTTGAAGAAAATCTCTTTAAAATAAAATAAATTACCTCACATTTTTTAAAAAAGAAATTAAAAAAGAAATTCTAAGAAAAAAATCAATGACTTAAACTTTTCGAAAACTTTTTTTTTATGTCGTGTAAGTTACAACGAGTGAGAATAACGAAAAGTCGTCGCTTTTTTTTTTAATTTTAGCGAACTTACTCGCAATTGCTACACGTGGTGGTAGGTAGAGAAAGAGAGAGAGAGAGAAAGAAAGAGAGAGAGAGAGAGAAAGAAAGAAAGAAAGAGGGAAGTTATGACAGTTATTTGTTGTTTATACTATTGACAGAGATGGGAGTGTATAAATGTTGCACCGCTTTTTTTCTTTTCTTTTTTGTTACCACCCCCAACTCTTTCTTCCTCGATATTCCACTTCCATGTTTTTTTTAATCTTTTTTTATTTCATTATTATTATTATCACTCTGTGTAGTAGAAAAAGTAAAACGAACTCAACAGTCGCTGTTAGTGTTCGTCTTCAAGTCAGCTTTCTTTCTCTGACAGTTTCTTAGTTACTATTTGTGTGATTTCTATTTTTTCAAACATTTTTTTCTGTTACCGAAATCTCATGACAATGTGTGGATTTAGACAATTAAGTAAGTATATAAGTTCATTTTTGTTTTCCATTTTTTTCCCCCTTTTTTGGGCAACATTCTTAACACGCTTCTCTCTAAAACAGCTATTTTTTTTTTTTTTTTTTACAAGTTTAAAATTCAGGAGAAAAACAAAACATTTTTTTTTCTAATTTAAAATCTGACATCAACATTAGTGATTTATAGAAATTCAAGTTTGTCTAATACTGTGAAAACTCCAAGTTACATGAAAATGCAAATCTAATGAAACTAGTTACTAATTACTAAAACTTTGTTTTGTTAGTTTTGTTTAAAAAGTTTCTTTTGCTGTGTCAGATTTTCTAAGTTGGAAGAAGTTTATTTCAATTCTAGTTACTTTAATTTTTTATTAATTTATAATATTCCAAATGAAAACTTCTTTCGTAACGAAGCCACAGAACTTTCAGATCCTCATTTATGCCAAATCATTACAGCAAGACACGTGCTTTGTTTTAAATCTCCTCGAAAGTGTCACGGTTTTTTGTTTTTTGCCGATTGTGAAACTCTACTTAGCGAATACATACGACACTTTAAACATCCTGTGGTAAACTTTTTATTATTTTTTTTTTAACAATTGTAAAATGTTGGATATTCAACTTTTCTTTTCAATTTGTGTTGTTTGTCTTTTAAATACTGTGTTTACACCACGAGTTTTTAGTGCTCGCTTTTGCTGTTGTTGACTTGTCTAGGCGGGTCCGCTACGGTCCGCTTATTGCTTTTTCTCTATCATATTTTTTTTTTCTGGGGGTGGGAAGGGACCTAAAGTTTCGGTTACTTACTTTTGGAATGTGTTTTTCCTACATTTCTGTAGACAATTTTCACCCGCGCCCTCGGCTTAGGGTTATTAACGAAATAAATCATCATTAGGAATCTTCAATCTAGGGCACAACTGGTCCACTCATATATATATATATATATATATATAGAGAAGAATTTTTTTGGGGGGGAATGCTTTTTATAGATAAGCAACCTTTAGATTTTCCTTAGGCGGCGACACTTGTCAGAATTGAAAAAAAAAAAATATTGATTCGTTATCGATGGGGGGGGAGGGTCCTGTTTAATATCGATACATTTACAGTGTCAAATCGATCCATGACTTTTACAGAGTTATTGGCTTAGGTTAAGTTACTTATTATTGTTACATTCTTCCTAAAACCAGATCTTCTGATTCATGCTACACTAATTTCCACCACGGGCCGGACGTGAACTCTCCGAACACTCAAGTCTGAACTAAAATGTCATCAACTGCGTATAGGCTTCGCACATACCTTCCGTTTTTACTCACACACTCAAAGAAAAAATAAGCAATACAATCCATAATTTCCACCCAATAACGCTCACACACGCCTAAAGAAACAAAATAAAAAAAAAAACGGAGCCGATTTGAGCCTAAAGAAAGGACATAAAAACCCATTTAAAGGGACATTTTCGTCAGTCAGACGGCAACTTGATTCTAGTTCACAAAGCTCGTTGGAAAGCGACCACCCACCTCTTAAAGAAAACCAGCCAAAGATAACTTGTCATCCCTCTCGTACGATACACCTCTTCGGAGGTATTTTACAATTCCACTTATCCCCTTCTTTCAATGACAGACATTTACACTGATTTATCTTTTTTTTTCTTCTTCTCTTTTTTTTGTTGTATTTTATGTTAATACAGTTGTTTATTTCTTTAAACCTTCTTTATTTCTTTTTTGTTCTATCACCATGCACTTAATATAACAACTTGGTATCAGAAGTTTATTTACAAATGTCAAATTTGAAATTGTGCTAACATATGATATCTGCGTTTTTTTTTTTTAATTTTCTGATTTTTAAAAATCTTTTTTATACATTTTAACTTTTAATAAAAAAAATTTTTGTGTCGAATCTTATCAGAAGCACATTCACAAATATTTGATGCTTATAATTATTTATTTTAAATAAAGAATAAACGTAAACATAATTATTAAGTTGTGTAAATTTTTGTTCTTTAATTAACTATCAATGATCTGTTTGTTTGCTATTTAAAAAAAAAAAAATATTTGTAACTCCTCTCAAATAAAAAGTCTGTTTTCATATGAAAAACCTCTTAAGGCCAATAATTTGACACTGTGTATTAATATTATAAATTGACAGGATCTGCATTCTCTAAATAGATAACAAATCAATATTTTTTTATTCTGACAAGTGTTGGGGGACCTAATGTCTCTGAAAAAAGACTGTTTAGCATTGATCTACAAAATTATCCCCCCCCCCCAATCCTTAATTTCTATGAGTGTACTCATCTATATTCACCTATAAACACAAGGACAATGTAAAAAAAAAAAAAAAACCCGTAAATAAATAGTAAAAGAAACATGTTCTCTTTTGAAAATCCTCTGCTAGTTTTAGTTTGGAACAGCAGTTTGATCTTCACAGGTGTCACAATATCAATAAAAAAACTTCATTTTTTTTGTCAATGCATGTATTTTGTGACACTAGAAATGTTTGTGATTTTTGTTTTGTTTGGTGGTGATAGGATGAAACATATTTCATTTTTGAACAAAGATAAATGCAAACTTGATTTCTTTTCTGCAGTTATTAAGAAAGGCGAACTTTTGAATGCTAACAGAATCCTCATCAAGTGAATAACTTCTTTTTTACTTGTGATTTTTTTTTTTTCTTGGTGCTTAATGTGAAATGAAAAAAAGTCAATATTTTAAATATACTCCATAGAAGAAAAACTGTTTTAATTTCAATAAACCTAAAGATAAGTTTTAATGATTATTTAAAGTAATTAGTATACCTTAACAGTATAATAAATTTTTAAATTCATTAACTTTTTCCGTCCTGGGTAATACAATAAACTACATTCAACAGCAAAGCCTCTGAGCAGGAGATTTTGAGGAGTGTGGAACCACCTCTTAATTGCTGGTGTTCCCAGGTCCACTCTGACCCGGGGTGGTAGCGCCTGTTAGGGTCCCAGCAATGGGCAAACCCCCAAGCTGCTGTCAAAACACTATGAAAGTGTAAAAATAGGTTTTATTACCAGCAATACATTTTTGGAAAAAAATATTACCAGCACTAAAAATCTTGTTGGCATTAAATAACTCATTGAGGGTGATATGCCATAAAACAAACAAACATTAACTTTTTTATTCATTTGATTTCATTTGAATTTAATTAATCATATATTCTCTACATCTCCTTCAATTTTTTTTTCTCCATAGAATGGAATCTTTTTCTTGTGGTAATAAATAACAACTATTTTAAAGAAGTTTGAATTTGAACTTGTGAATTTAATTAGTTTAAGCTAATTAGGATCAAGTTGTAAACTAGGAACACTTACACACACTTGCTGTTGAAAAAAAAATGATAGTTGAACTAAAAACCAGATGGCAATGCTTGGAAGAATTTTCATCAACATTCAGTCGTGGAATTTTGCTTTTTTTTAAGAATTACCCCACAATTCTTCCTTCAATGTTAAAAGAAAGTGTTCTATACAAAACTGGAGGATAAATTCACTCAACCACTTCCCTTGACTCTGTTACTATGCGCATGTACAAATTGACTTTAACCTGGCAAATGAAAAAAAAAAATGTGCTCCTATAAATACATTGGTGGTCAAAACTTTTGGTTCATCTTTTTTATAAATTAATTTTACCCCCAAATTGTGAGTGATTAGCAGTATGCCTTTCTCAGTACATTTTATGACCTTTGAGGGCCAGAAAATAAGGTTTCAATAAATACTGTATGATGACTATTTTAAGCATAGTGATGCTGATAAATAAGGCCAAGCAAAAATAGTGGGCCACCAGCAAAAATTTAATTTTTCAGCTTTTTTTTTTTTTTCAAGTTCAAAAGGGCAAATAGTGATCTTTATTATTACAGAAAATACAAATCATCAAATTATGGAGTTAGTAATTAGGTTGCTGCCTTTGACTTGAATAATTACTACAATTTCATGTGGCATTGAATTGGAACAAGGTACAGTTTTTTTTTTTTTTCCTTGGGAATTCTTCTTAGCAGTAATCCCAAAGTTGTTGGAGATTGTGGTTTTCATTGGAGCACTTTTTTCTTCAGTTCCCACCACAATAGCTCAATTATATTAAGGTCAGGGCTTTGTGCTGGCTGGTCTTCCAAAGATTGAACATCTTCATCTATAAGAAACATTTTTGTTGCATGCGATGTGTGTCAAGGAATGCAATCATGTTGAAAAATTTCCCCAATTTTGTAATCTGGCAGAAGATTAGTCCATAATAAACTAGTTTTCACTGTTTAGGTTTCCATCAACTTCTACCAATTTTCTTCTCCTATTTTGATGCAACCCTATGCCATTTTATGTCTGCCGCCAGATTTTACTGTCTTTGTGGTGCATCTTGCATTGTTTCTTTCTCCCACTGGTCTGCTTACATATTCTCTTGCATTAGAATGGAACTATTTTGCATTCCTCACTAAAAATTACTTTCTGCCACTTTCTAACATCCCATGTTAGATGTTCTTTTGACCACTTCAATTCCACTGTTTCTTGATTAATTATGACTTTTGCTGCTATATGTCCATTCACATTCTTTTTTGGTAATACTCTGCATACTGTATGACCTGAAATCTCATTGTCAAGACTGTATTCACTTCTGACTTGTCTGGCTGTTCATTTGGGATTGTCTACCAAGATCCTCACAATCTTTTTTTCATCTCTCTTGTGGTCTTCTGGTTTTCTTTACTATATTCAATAGTAGCAAATGCCTTTTGGACAGTTTGAACATTGTTTCTGGAAATTCCCAGCCACATGTTTGTCTCATTGAGCCATCTTCCTCTTCAAAGTCACAACCTTCATCTTTGTTTCAGTAGAAATTTTAGCCATGATTTTAGTGGTCACAAGCAAGCTACAATGATTTTCCAAGGTGCCTTATACTTGTGTTAATAAAATGGAACAATTCTTCCTTAGAAATTTGCATATTATCATGACTTTTTCATCTCAGTTCTTTTATTGGCCTAATAGTTTTTTGTAGTGAACAATTACGT